GACCCTCAATGAACTTTCCCTGACTAAGGTTTAACCCTCCACCCCTCTGCTAATGTGTTTATCTTACCTTAACCATGGGCCTGCACCTCGCCACCAGCTGTGTCATTTACATTATGATGTCAGGAGCCGTAAAAAGATGTTGCTGCACTTTAGTTTCACCTCTGAGTTTCCATCCAAAGCTACAGCAGAGTGCACATTTTCATTTTCAGAACTTCCCCAGCCAGACTGTGGCGCTCGTATGACAACGAGCTCATTACCTGCAGACTTCTAACACACACACACACACACACACACACACACACACTTTATCTCTTGCTGCATCAACACGAAACACAGATTATCTGATGCTGTGTCAGGGACACAATAACCAGTCAGACACACCAACAGTCACTGACAAAGAGCGACTGATCAAAGGGTTCAGGCGACACCTGTGTGATGAGAAATACTCGCCAGCGTGCACAAGGACCCCCTCCATGCCCCTCCCCTACAGTACGGCTTCATGTCCGATGAACAGCTGACATCCTGCCTCTGTGTGAAAGTGTGAAAGCAGTTCTCTGCCTGCATGTTTCAGGAACACAGAGTTTTATTTAGAGTTCACTGTTTGAACTTTGAGGAAGTTTTGACTCTAACCAACAATTTAAAACAATTCCAAGAAAAAAGCTTTTTTTGTTTTGAATTTGAAGTTCATTACAGACTAAATGGATCCAAATCGGGAACATGTACTCAGAGTAGAAGGATTCCTGCTTGCTGTACTTTCACACTCACGATTTCTGTGAAATCAACAGTGTGGATCATCTCTGAACCTGAAACACAATCTTTCATACACAACATGAAAGCAAAGCCAGGCGGTGACCAGCGTCTATTATCAGTCCCATCAGTTTTATGTCAGAGAAGACTCCTTTAGGGTTCCTTCAGCCGGCGGCGCTGACTTATCGTCTTATTCTACAAATGTGATGTGAGTTTGTCTGGGAACCTTCAGAGGCTGTTTTCTGTCTATCAGCACATTCAGGAGGAGGAGAGTGCACCAGCTGCTCAGGCTGGCCACAATCAGTGATCTACCATCATTAATCAGTATTACTCAGTGAACTCTTTCATATGCAGGACGCAGACTCAGAAAAACAAGCCTGAGATGTTTTCACAGAGGCTCATGGAGGGTGGGTTTGAGTGCTGCAGGTCAACCCAGGTGGTTGCTGAGGGGTACCACCATGGTCAGCGCGGTGGTTACCGAGGGGTACCACCATGGTCAGCGCGGCTAACAGTGGCTAACCTCCGCCCGGAGCCAACAAGTGACAGTGACTGACAGCACAGTAAACCCGTCTGTGTGACGGCAGATGCGAGAACATCCCGAGGGGTGTGGCCGGACACACACTCTGCTGTGACTGGATGGTGAGCCAATCTCTTGATGACCGTGTGACTTCCTGTCAGAGTCAGACAGGAAGTCCTTGCTGCAGATAAAGAGGACGAACGGGACCCTGATTACTGTTTGATAAACAAGGGGAGCCTGAGCCATTCCTTATCTCACTTCCATTTGGAAGCACATGATGGGAAATCTGCTTCAAGTCAATGATGTTTGTTCTAACATGTGGGGGAGCCACAGCGCCACCTACAGGACAGAGTTCACACCTGAAACTCACACTGTAGAGCAGGGGTAGGCAACTCCAGGCCTCGAGTGCCGGTGTCCTGCAGGTTTTAGATCCCACCCTGGGTTAACACACCTGAATCACATGATGAGTTCATTACCAGCCTCTGGAGAACCTCAGAAATGCTGAGGAGCCATTTAGCCCTTAAAATCAGCTGTGATGGATCATGGACACATCTAAAACCTGCAGGACACTCGAGGCCTGGAGCTGCCCACCCCTGGTTTAGACAAAGTGAGATTTTGAAGGCTCAGTGTTTTGTCTCTCAGCTGCTGCCATTCTGGATCCTTGGAGGAAGGTCTTCATCCTCTACTTACACAAAGATCAGGGCCGTCCCGAGTCACCTGACCTAATGGGTTGGCTATCCTCAGATCCTGGCAGGAGGCACTTCTGCATCGCTTCTTGAATCCGAGATGATGTCTATGGTTCTGAAGAGGTGTGCAACAGGTATCTATAGACTGCCCAGTCAGGGCTTCCTGGTCCGGCGTCAAGTCTGAGCTGGTACAAGTGTGCAGAAGGCATCAGCTGCCAGTGAGTCCAGGAGCTCCTCTTCCTCATGGAGAGTAATTTGGAACCAGAGAGCATCAGATGGGACAGTTTAGTCTGGGAACCAGAAGCCCACAGTCTAAAAGCGGGTTACAGGTATAGAGCTTAAAAAGCAGCTTCAAGCTGAAAGATGCAAAATATGTTTGAATTAAAAAAAACAAACTAATAAAATGTTCATCTGATACTTTTATTTTGAATAAACTGAAGCAGCTTCCCTGACAGAGAATATATTATATATAATAAGACAGCACAACAGAGGAAATGAAGGTCACATGTTGCAGAGACCCGTTTCAGACGGGCACACCTGCTGCAGGTGTTTGTGCACCTGCGCTAAAAGCCACCCAAGAACCATCCCTGCCCCACAGCACCATGTTCATGTTTCAAAATAAAAGCTTTGAAACTGTCACGTGCCTACATTTTCTTGCCATATGTATTGGCCGGTGTTGTCACATGACCCTAAACCTTTCTCCTGTGGCTCGCCACTCATCACAGCCCACAGGTTACTAACCGTTAACGGGACCTCGAGCGCCGTTAGCGTGAAGACCCTCAGGTGGTCCCGGTGTGCATGTCTGGTGGTTCGTGTGACTTGTGGACGGGCAACGAACACTTCACCGTCCACTTGGTCCTTCAGCTAAAAGTCACACAGACTACCTGAGATGGTGATCGAGTCAGGACGAGAAGCACACTGAGGTCTGTGCACCTTCACTTTCTCACACCAAGAGACTCTCGGTCAGGCTAGAAAAATGCATTGTGGGTAAAAACATACATACATCACAGTTGTGCAATCAAACACAAGCAGCAAACCCACACCTAACAGCCCAAAGTTTACCTGGACAGAAGCTGAGCCTCCTGTCGGCTCCACGTGTAGGAAAAGTTATAAAAAATCAAACACAAAGAAACTCAGAATCGGGGGAACTAGAGGCAGTTCCATGAATTTGATCAAACCGCTCCAGCTGTCTATAAAACTAAAGCACAGGAAGTAGGAATCAGCTGTTTTTCTTCCGCTGGAATCTTTTTAAACTCAAAACTGACGAGTCCTCGCTGCCCAGCAGGCTCACCTGACCCTGTCAACCCCGCCGCAGGTGCACTTTGTGACTCAGACGGTCATTTAGGACATTTAAGGTCAAACTGATGAAACTTCATTAGAGTCGCTGCTTTGGTTTATACTGCAGCTGGAGGCAGGGCTCATCTGGAGCACCGATGTGGGCGGGGCACAGGACTGAGGGCGGGACATTTCTATGACTCAACAGCATAAATTGTTTACAAACTGTACATGCTCAGCAGAGGTAATCCAGCAGGTCTGGGGGCGGGGTTAAAAATTATTCCTGAGAGGGATTATGGGTGAAGGTCAGACGTGCGAGGCCTTTCCCAAAGTCAGACGCACACTGGCTCATTTCACCCGGTTCAGTCCAGTTTGGTCTGGTTCAGTTGGGGCGGATGTTGGCGTAGTTCTTGATGACGCCGGAGAACCTGATGATTTGGACCTCTGGGTTTTTGGGTTTGAAGTCCTG